GGTGGTCCTTAAGCAGGACGTCGATAGAGAAGAGCGTGTGATTGAGTATGCCAGTCAATCATTAAACAGTACTAAAAGAAATTATATAGTCTCAGAAAGATAGTTCCTGGCAATGATATGGGTCATTGGGAAGTTCCGACCGTATATTGAAGGGCATCACTTCAAAGTCATCACAAATCATAGTTGCCTTAAATAGCTCCACAGTATGAGAAATTCCACAGGACAGCGCTAGCCCGCTGGGCGCTAGTATTACAAGGCAATATTTTCGATATAGAATACCAAAGGAGAGATCTCAATGTGGTGCCAGACGCTTTATCTAGGGCCTATAAGGAGGAGGGGACTGAAGTTAGTGCCATGACTAGTCAGCCGGAAACTACTGACGCCTGGTACTGCAACAATACTAGGAGGTGTGACAAGATCCTCACTCCCATCCCATATGAAAAGTGGTTGGAGGAAACTGTATTATTATCAGCCTGATGAGGACGGAGCAGGATCCATCAACAACGAGGAGGCACGGAAACTCGCGGTGCCTAGTGAAAAAATGCACCAGGTCCTCGAGGAAATCCACGACGCCCCGACGGCAGGACATCAAGAACGAGAGCAAACGTTTTCCAGGACTAGACGCTTGTACTATAGGCATAAATGTATGATCAGATCAGGGAGTACGTGAAGAGGTGCCCGGTATGTCAGCAATGCAAGATGGAACAAAAGCATCTCGCGGGCTGATGGGTCGTAGACAAGTGTTACGATACTGGCAGGTGGTGGCCGGTGATATCACTGGTCCATTTCCTAAAAGCTATCGAGGTTTTGAGTACGTCCTAGTCTTTGTAGACCTTTTTACTCGCTTGGAGGATTGCATAGCAGTACATAAGGCGAATGAAAAGACAATTGCGAGGAAGTTAGACGAGCCGATTTTCAATAGATTTGACAATCTAGTGACAATAAATAGACAATGATCGATAAACAATCACAATTGATAGACAACGGAACCGAATTCAAGAATCAGGAAGTCGATTTATACCTCCAGAGAGACGGCATCCAGCGCGTTTTGACTCCCATGTATCATCCCCAATCGAACCCAACGGAGCAAGGAAATAGGATATTCAAGACTATGATCCCATCGTATGTAAATCGTGATCATAAGAGCTACCGTTTGCGTTATCGAAATAAGTTCTGTAAATTAGCATCCACTAACATGTGCTTATACGAGACTATCAAAATGAATATTCGATAACTCATAGATCAAACATTGATAGAAGTATATAGTTGGAAGAAAAGCAATAACAATTTATAAGACAAAATATTTTGATTGCGTGAACTTGATTATGAAACAAGAAAAATACAGTACAGAAAAATAGGTCTATCATATGAATCACATCAAATTAGTGAAAGTAAATGTTATGTGATTCAAATACAAACGCAAGAGAACAATAAAGTTATTTATATATTAACTGACGAAGATTTCTATCCAAAGCTTGTAGAAACTCTCATATAAACTAAATATACAAAACGTTGTATAAAATACAAAACGTCATGCACAAGTGGAGAATTTTACGAAAGGCGTGTGAAATTTTTGTGGAATATTATGCGACAGTTACTTTGAAAAATACTCTAATAAAAGAAGGTGTTGTATTTAAACTTATTGCCTCTAAAGGGTTTAATGCACGAGGACTAGTTGATTTAATTGATTTCAGTCTTGTCCGGACGGTAAATACAACTGGTTGCTTCAAGATCATATAACAAAATTTATACACTTGAGGCCTTTGAAATCAAAGCATGCAGCAAATCTTTCATAAGAAATGTCGAAAATATACTTTACATTTAAAGTTCCTTGCAAACTGAACTTCCTTGAACTGGCATTATCAGAATCAAATAAGATAAATAATGTTTCAAGGTAACATTATTATTATTATATAATTTTATTTAGAAAATTGCATATTGACGTGTTTGACATCATTTTTGTTTTTGCAGGAATTAAAAAAATTTGCATTGCGAACAACTTTCACAAGAAAGAAGTGATATTGCTAATGTAAGGTAAAATATAATACATTTTTATTTCGTTACTTTATTTCCATTTAGAACATTAAAACTATCTAAACTTTCATTTCATTACAGCGACAATGCAAATCTCATTACCCTGAATCGTCAGATTCTTGTGTGATTCAAAATTCCTCTGTGTGCAGAATTTGTAATTGAGTCATGGTTTTTGACAATGTAGTTCGCTATACAAAATCTCATTTGACAATCCAATGCAATGAATAAATCTGAATAAAAAATGATCTGGTTCATTTATTTTGTAGTCCAGAAAAGGATTTTATTGATGTTCAAAACGATTACTTTGAAAAACAAAAATTAGCAATAAAGAAAATAGTTACGTTTTTGCAAGACATTTTTTCGTCGATATCTGTTAACAGTGGCGTAGCCATTTCAGTACCACAAGTAGAGAGACACTCGTTTTGGAAGCAATTTTCAGCGTAGTCATCGATATAAAAAATGGCTTGTACCAAGTTGAAATGAAAGGTGTATTAATTAATGAATAGGTTTCACGATATCAATGGAGCTTAGCAGGTATGAAAACCGTTTTAGCTAGTGTAGGAGCGAAATATTCTCGAGCTCGCCCGAAGCTTTCAGAGCAAACGAGCAAGCGACATACATAATATATATTTGTAAACACGTTTAATTGAGTTAAATTCAGTTCGGACGTGGACAAACGATGATCGGAAGAAGTATTGCTAAATTGACTTGTTAAATAAAGATAACTGATTGCCTTATCATTGAATGTGTTCCTATTCCTCTAAAATTCTAATCGGCTGTAAAGGAAACATCTACAGTTAGCGACGTTCAAAAAGAAATTTTATTAATATTACGCGAAGCAGATCCTCATCAGTCAAGAAGTGGTGGATAAGGTTGTCATAGGTGCTTCTGCAAACTCGGTGATAAACAGTATTTTATGAATAAACGTTTCTGCTTCAAATCAAATATTAAATATAGATCGCGATGCTATAGTGTTTTATATATATGAATAAATAACGATGTAATACTATATTATTAAAATAGTGCATTTTATAATATCTGATTATAACAAATTTATTGTTATTTTTAAAAAATAAGTAATTTAAGCTATAAATAAAAATCGTAAGGAATATCTAGAAGTTCATTTATTTCTCCTATTTGCTGAAACTGTTGTTTGGCAGTTTTTAAATCATATAACATTTACTTTCATCAATGTGTTATGATTCATATGACTAAAAACTGAGGAACATTTTTCTGACATATGACTAAAAGGTGTTATAATATAATAATATTATAATATTATTCCATAATATGGAATAAATAATTAAAATTATTAATTAATAATTAAAATGAATAATTAATAATATTTATAGGTTAAAACTAATTTTCGCGGGCTATTTGTTGTCTAGCGTACAACTATTGAAAGACTACATGCACACTTGTGATGTTCGTATCACTTATAAATAAAATAATTCGAACTCTCGTAATCTAGCTAATAAGTATAAGAATTTGTTTCCAATGATTTTACTCTAATTGTCAAGAAAATAGATAAATGAATCAAATATAATAAATAAGTAAATCAAATATACATAAGTAAGTGCAATATATCGAGGAAAGTCAGACAATGCCCTAGTTTCTTATGGTGCGAATTGTCCCATAAGCAGAGCTAAAGTCTTTCTTTGATAGGATATAATTCGGCCCAAATTTCTTATAGCGTGAGATGTTCTATAAGTCGAGCTCAAATTATAAGGAAAGGATAGTCTTGCTTAGTTAATCACAATGAGAGAAAGAACTTAGGTATTAATCCAAGTTTATTCAGACTCATGCGCTCACCTTGCAAGGCTAGAAGTGAATGCTAGCCTGTGCAAAGGTAGGCCTATTTATACACAGATTTTCCCGCTTATTATTGCAGGAGAGATTTCATCGAAAATTCGAGAGACATTCGCGAATTTTGAGAAATAAGTTTTCTTAATTTACAAGTAAATAACCATTAATATTAAGTTTTTAACACATGTAAACTTTATAGAATTTGTTATTTGTTGATTTTATACAATATACAATTATCGCCAATAGTGTCGTCAAAAGTTATTAACCAATAAAGTTAATTAACATGATATTACAATATTTACAATAGAAAATTATTAAATTTTCATATTTGTAACAGTTTTTTCTAATCTTAATATGCAATTATTAGATAAATCATTTAAGATTTCTAAATCATAAAGTTATCATTATCAAGTATTAACTTAATATTTTCGTTCTATATATAGCTTATTGTTTAAATAAATTATTAATTGTTTATTTATTAATAACAGTTATTATTTAGCTGTTATTAATGAAACCAATTCTTACTCATATTCTATGTTTGTTCACTTTGCATATTAATTATTTATATTTTTCTAATATTTCATATGTTAATAAATAAATTAACTTTGCATATTGATATTCATTATTATTTCATAGTTGAATGAGATTTTTGTTATAATATTATGAATCTACATGCTAAAATATATATAATCAATACTTTGTTATATTAAAATTATATATAATTAACATATTTTTCTTAATATCATGAATCATTATATCTATGTCTATTATTTTGTGACGTCACGCTGTTTATTTTGATTCGACTCTTATTTGTATACAGTCGCGTAAACAGTGAGGTAGCGCCGCTTAATGTATTGTTTTGAATAAACAGATAGATACATTAGACTAGTTGCAGTCATTCAGTGATTTAATAAATAGCTCATATATAGGACCGTTACACACTTATTTACCCACACAAATGCACATTCATCAAAAATTTTTATTTTAAACTACACATGAAGTCTAATGCAGAGATATATTTAAAAAATATGAAAAGTATAGTAGATAAGAAACTTCTTATATATGTTGTGTTTTTCAAGAGACTACTCTACTTCATCATATTCAATAAGCTATAATTAGTTTTATATAGATAATTATTACATATAATTTTATTATTTCAGAATAAAGACTCTGGTACAAATGCCGATGTTAAATCTTTTAATAAAGAACAAGATTGGAATGAAATCAGAACAAAATCAATAGCTGCAAAAGTTACGATTAAGCGAGAAATATCACCAATTAGTCCGGAAAATTTAGAAAATGTAGACCTGCAATATGAATACATCGACGAAAATAAGAAATTTGACAATGTACATGTCATGCATCGTTCTTTAGAAAATACAGATTATACTATACAAACGGTATGGAATCCTTTCACGCGAGTATCAAGAAGCGCAAAATTACAGTCACATCAAGGATTAAATCCTATTTCAGTTAATAAAGCTGTCAATTACAAAGAAACCGATCATAGAAGTTGGGTTAAACCAGCATTTAGTTCAATAGTATATAAATTACCTGTAAGTATTCGTTCGCCCTCATAATTAGTTTTGATGATTTTTATTTGAGTACTATAGTAGATAAGGTCTGAAAAGAGTAATAAGTAAACGAATATTCTTTATTTCTATATAACACCGTGAATTGAAATCAGTTTATTTCTCTAATGCAAGAATTTGATATTACATTACAAGAAAGGTTTCAATTTTCTTGAAATATGACTTATTCGTTCACTTTTCATTTTTCATGTCCGTGAACTGCTTTCTGTATAATATCTGTTACGTTTTAACTGTTAAATTAGTAACAATCGAGATGAACCAATACAAATCTACCGGGTAGGGTTCACTTTATGATGATGTTAGTAGCAACTATTGGTTAGTTAATTTAGAGAAAATGTACATTGCTTTTATCTCGAGAGAAAATGATTGATGAATAATAATTTGAAGTGAATATGTACTCGTACGAGTATTTAGTACTGTATTTAGTACTGTACTTTGGGAGATCAGCAATAGATCCCTCAGAGATCGGGCGTTTTTGGAATAATTGAATAAAACCCTAACATTTTAAAATAGATTTAAAAGGATTAATGGAACATCAAACAAGTATTCATTTTTTTAGAATGAGGTAAGAATGGAATAAGTACAAAATAACGGTCGAAATATAAGTGCCTAATTATCGAACTGGTAGGTGCGCGGAGTTCTTAATTCCACAACTGTTTATAGAGGATTTTGTATGATATCTATGCAGTAGCATGTTATCTCTAAAAATATATAAAGAGTTGCGCGTACTTTCCGCATTGTATTTCATGAGAAGACTTTTTTAAAAGCTCTCCCATAGAGTTAGCAACAAAGATATACGAATTTACGATGTCCTTATATTGACCTTACCTGTGTTAGCTTTATTGAGGCGTAACAGAGGAAAAAAAGTATAAAGCCTGAGAAAAAGGCTTTCACTTCTTGGATCTATTCAATTAGCGGAATTGGTTAAAGATTAGAGCTTAAGTAAATTATAGTCTGATGTGGTCGTCTCAAGCATCAGTCACCATCAGGGATGGCTTTCAGGGCTCGAGGAGTATTATATGGCGTTAGAAAAAGAGAGAAAAATAAATAACAAAAAAAATAATCAACAGGGAAAGGATTTTATTTTATATCTATTTTGAATGCTTCATGTGTATGGCGATCAGAGCTTCTCGAATTTTGCATAGATTTTGGCTAGGAAGTTTTTTTTTAATTTTCGAATGTGATCCTTGATGGTATGGTTTGGTACTTTATTGCTTGACGAGTTAATGGTGAGGAGATCTCCTTTACGCGCACTTAATCCTGCGACTCTTTGGTACCAGCCTAAGGCTTGGCTTTGAGTTTGAAGAGTTAGTTGAGGAAGTGGACTAGGAATGTCCATACAGCCGCGAGTATGTGGACGCTCCAGTCGAAGATACAGTAAAGGACATAACCGTGTATGATGGTATTCATTATTGCATTAACGAATTGTATAATTATGAATATTGCGATGAGGCCAGATGCTATGGTGCTGAACTTCATAAAGCTGTTCTGAAATTTGGTGTAGGTTGAAATGGCCATCTGTTTTATTGTTTCTAGATCCAATACATTTTTGAGTTTTGCTGTGTCTACCAGTACTGGTAGATTCAAAAGTCTTCTGGTGATGTTTTCCAATAGAGCTGGTCGTTCTATTAGGAAATTAGAATATTGGTGTAGTCACTCAAAATCTTCGGGAGAATGAATTCCGTCATTGATGAGTACTTAGAGATCGTGGTAGCGTCAAGTGAGTTTTCTTATTGGCTGCATAATTTCTGGAGTAATGATTAGCGATGGGGCAATTAATAGTGTCTACCGGATACCGTTACACTTGTAATCTGACGGAAGGATGTGATTGCAATCCCGGGCCATGCTACTTGTTGTTAAAATGTGTTTTTAGTTTGAAAAAAAGTAGCTTGTTGTTGTAACTCACGAGTAACTCGTAGTAGCAACTTAAGGTGCTTCGAAGGTGGCAAGATACTTCCTGAAATTGAATAATGTGTGCGACCCCGTCAACAGCCATGGCGGTGTACCCGAGCAGTTTTGTGATGATTAGCGCAAATTCGTCTGGTGCCCTGATAGTTAGAGATAGAGTTCTTTAATACTTGTTTCTCTAACTCGCATCTGTGCTTGATTATGACGCGATAAACTTCGTCAAATTGTTCCTATATATATTTCTTAAAAAGTGGGCAAGCTTAGTGTTAAAATAGGCTGTAAGCAAGATTTTTTTTAATGTCCATGAGTTATTTATAGAAATGATCGTACAAGTTCCGTTTCGACGATCAGGAGTTTTGAGTGTTCAGTAGTTATGAGACGATATCCGTATAGATCGAAAGCTTCTCCAATTGATAACCCAAACTGTATGTCGCTAGTTAAGTTGGCAAAATATACATTGGAAATACTGATGACGTTATCATGTACCTCGATATCTTGTTCTTGGTATAGGGCTTCGAATTTATTGTAATTGCACATTAGTGTTGGGGCTATTATCTAGAATATGTAAGCTTTCTCGTTGGTGAAGCAATGTCCGTTCGAGTATATTGTATCTTTTTCCCTGTGTCCGCTTGCGTGAACGTAGGTGCAAAACTTTATAAGTGAACACTACATCGTCAGCAAATATTCCTTTTGTTTTTTAATTTTTTGGAAGAGACTAACTATATCTAAGGCTAATTTTTCAAAACTAGTACCCGGCGTGTCAGTCAGTACCATCGGTTATCGCATCTTTTGTCGGCTGAGCTTATTGATCTCGCATTTTTTACAGTTGCCAATAAGTTTCTGTATGGCAGATTTCAATTTTGGCCAGAAGTAGTCCTGGCGTATTCGTTTGTATGTTTTCGAAACGCTGTTGTGACCGTTTATTGATGACTAGTGCGTTTCTTTAATAATTTCTTTACGCAGGGCTTCTTTCAGCAGTTGAATTATATTGTTACAGATTAATAACTTAGTATGAGAATCGTGAAAGTAAATTTTGAAGAAATCCATGATCTCGCACCAGTCGAGGTCATTGATTTTGTACGTTTTCGAGATACAAATCGATCCTAGTTCTAATGTCAAACATACGTCAAAGAGCGACTCAATTAAGTCCTTGACTATTTGAAGATCGACCGGAATTCTTAGATTTTCCTTTATCGGCAAGGCAATTAGATATTGATGTTTTTTTTAGTGACTTTCGCTCTCAAAAGCGTAACATCTTGCAGGGGTGGAAGTCTGCTTTATTATTGAAGCGCAAGTGCTTCTAGGTCGAGGAGTTGGTTCTTTACTGTAACGAAATACACTAAATTGTCTTTGGCTAGCAAGAATTTTTATGATAATCGGAGCGGGGCGAAGGGCGTTTAACTCACTACGGCCAAACTCGTACTCTTCTTCTAAATTAATTTTGTTTGAACTGTCGTCGTGATTAGTATGGCTACCAGAGTGTAAACCCCAAGAGTAGTACCCCTCCCTGTTCTTGGTTGTTCGGTTCGTTGTTGTCCATCAGGTCATTAGGTGTGGTAGTTGTGTTGCCTCTTGGGACGTCCTTACAGTTTTCCATTTCTACGTCAAGGTTAGGACGAGAGAAAGGCCGATCGTCATTGGCATGAATATCTGGGTTTTAATTAGTTCCGGAAGTCGATGTTGAGGGAAGTTCTAAATGTAGTTGTCTGAATTATGGATGTATTGTTTGTCTGGAGAGGTAGGAGTTTAATCTGTTTTTTTATCAGCGTCTATAGAAGCTTTGAGTGCTTGTAGAATTTTATACCGTTCTTGCGGTGGAAGTCGGTAGGTAGTACCTGGTACTTTTTCCAATTGTCCATCAAAATACAACCAAAGCTGATTCTATCGTCGAAATCTAGATTGAACAATTTTTGTCCTTTTTTGCTTTATGTCAACGATTTTATTTTGATCTTTTTCGATTTCTTGTATATGTTTTATAGAGCTTTACATATAAACATTTCGTTGTCAAGGGCATGTATGGCGATAAATTCGCCTTTATTATACACTCCCGCCCAATAATCTTTGCCCACCTGAGAACAAAACGACTATAACTTTGAAACTCCATATCTCGACTGGAAATACACCTACAGAGCTCTGCGGGGGCTCATTTGAAAGGGTTTTTCGAGCACTTTTCAATGGTGTATATTAAAATCATGTTTAGATATTTCCCTTGCAGATAGGGCGGCGAATATCAAAACAAAAATTACGAAATTTTTGCTTTTTCTTTAACCGCTTGCCATGTCGAGAAAAAAAATCGTAGAAAAATTCTAAACATAGCATTTTTTAGCTCTTTTTCTGCACTATCCAAAACACTCATTCAAAAATAATTTTCGTCTAAATTCAGCGATTATATGAGCATTTCATTCAAAAACAGCATCTATATTCATTGCTCTGTATCTCGGAAAATTCGAATTGTAGAAAAAAATTTTCTTGGAAGAAAATGCTCTATTTTGTAAGTAGAATACGTGAACGAAATTTCATAATTATATGAAAACATTTTTTTTTCAGTCATAATATCAAGTAGTCTAATTTTTTCAATATTTCACTTTGGAATAATAAAACAGATCGTTTATACTCGAAGCTATTCTATTAATTGTAGACAAATTTTAATTGTATGCAAATCTCGATCAACGAAAAATCTAAGTAGAAAAATTAATCTAATCTACCAAAACTGACATAACTAATGATTAGTGAAAAAAATTTTTTTTTAATGTTGTTCTAATCTTTTAAAAAATTGTTTACCATAGTAACATATTATTGAAGTATGGCACCGAGAGATTTTAGTAAACGTTATCAAGTTATTGGATTTCACATAAATGGTAAAAGCAATCGTTTCCGCGGTCTACCAGAGCGCTTCTTGTCTTCAACACTGCCGCTACTTTTAAATTTATTTACATTGTAGTCTACGGTTCGATGAGGAATATTGAGAATACTAGCAATCTGACGATTGCTTTTACCATTTATGTGAAATCCAATAACTTGATAACGTTTACTAAAATCTCTCGGTGCCATACTTC